GATAACATTTATTTTTACTATTTCTTAACTTTTAAAACCTCCTTTTATAAATTCACAGGAAAAATGGGCATCATACAGGAAACCTAAAATGGATGAGTAATGTATACAGTTGAAAAAGGTTCAAAATAATATGCATGACATAAATAAATATGTTTTGAATCATCATTTTTATAACCTGTTGCTGGGAGAAAAGAAAGTTCCATCTTTCAATGTCTGTTCTCAGGACTAAAAAAATATACTAAATGAATAGACAATTCAGTAATGTCCAACAGATAACTAAAATGTAAATTTTATTTTTCCATATTTATCAATCAGACCATTGTTTCTGACAAGACTTCACTGAAAGATGAAGTGCAAATGGGAACCCTGTAAGAATGTTTATAAGAGTTGTACATGACATATTTTTAAGCGCCACTAAGTACACATTGAATACTTTGTAAGGATATAGGCATAGCAACATGCAAGTGTCATGTACCTAATATTACAATATGCATTTTGTTTTTGGAAAATGCTAATGACAATAGTAGATTCAATAACAGTGCTTATTTTCTGTGTAATATGTTTTATTTTAGTGGATCTTTGTTATAGCATAGTATATAGCTTTTTAATGCTGTCATAAATATACCCTTCTAAGCATTATGAATTTCATTTCATATAAAGAGAACATTTTATTTTTGAAGCTACATTATTGGGAACACCTGCATTTCTGGGTACCTTTTTCAGAGATAAGACTTTAAATTCTTTTTAACAAGGCAAACTTGTTCCAAGATTGGTTATGTTGAAATGTTTATGATAAAAATGGAGCTTTCTTGAGGGAATATTTTTTGGTTGAATGAAACGCTAAACAACCGATTCACAAATATTCATGTGAACTGAATATGAAAAAAATAGATCAGCAATCCAAAACTGAGAAGTCCTGTGTTAACACTTCACTGCATCATTGAATCTACAATAAGTACAGCATGTACAGTTAAATTTGTAAAAACATTAAATTTTTACACATTTATAAGGAGAACCATTACTAGTGTTGAAGAGTTTCAGGATTATTTTTCTTTCTATTTATGAGATTCATTCAACACAGTAGAAACACAGAGAAAAACAAAAAGGAGAAATGTATAACAATTCTGTTTACATTTTATAGATTTCTTAACCAATTAGTGACCACTGCTTTCAAGCATCCATATTTTATTGCGTATGACCTTCACTATGCGCAAATATAAAGAGAAAAGTGTCTACTAATATCATGTACAAGGAAAAGCATTTAAAGAAAGCAAGCATTTGAGGTTTGACAGTACTGTGTGTCGGTGTAATGTCGCATTCCACACTGCACTTAAAAGTCCATGTAGGAATCACTGCTGCTTTGACCCTGGACGTGGGAAAAGTGCTTAAGTGCTGAGCCCTGGTAGGTTTTTCTTTTGCCCCTGCAAATCTTCACATATTTTTTTAAACTTCTTTTGAAATATACAGTATATTTCCAAGGGGAAAGTAGTGTTTTCTCTTTCTTTACATCTTTTTCACATTTGGGCCCATTCTCTCCAAAATAATCACACATTTCTTGGATATTTCTTCAAAATATCATACATTTCAAATGTATATGAAAAAGATGGCAAAGATTCTACCAAGTACTACTTGTAACATAACCACATAACATAGGAAACATCTTACTTTAACTTTATGAATAATTTATAGATTCACCATCCTAATTTGAGAAATTTATGTATGCGTTCTTTTCCTAGAGGAAAATATGTTCGTAAAATGGCATTTTCTTTTAATATTTAAATTATACCATTGAAAAATGCATATTAGGTCTATGCAGACAAAATCAACTGGGTATTTGTGGCAATACTCTGCGTTATTTGAGGTTTTTTTAATAAAAGGGCAATTTTAAAATAGTTAATTTTTTATATAGTTAATATTTCTTAGGGCAGTATACATATATACATGATTTTTACTTACACAGTATTAATTTGTAATCAACTATTATAGTTTAAAAATGAAACAAGATATCAGATTGGATTGCAAAGTATTGCCATTTAAATCATTTTTAAAATTTCATTTACATTACAGTGAATATTAAACAGGCATTAGAAGAACTACCCTTACCAATTTATCATATTTACTATCAGAAAAGTTAATGATAGATAAGGAAAACAAACGCAGATCCATACACCATAGAATACACTACACAAAATTGGCTTTTGATATTTCCCAGAGGGTGGAGAGTGCATTGTCATGAAAGTCCCAAAATAATGCTTCCTGGGATATCTTGTACATAATTATTTCCTCTATTTATATAGCCCATGTTAAAAGTGAGAGGTAGAAGGATTATTGTAGTGTGCATGGCAGAGGAATTACCAGCTATATCCAATAACTATTGCATTCAATATTATTAATCTCAATACATAAAAATGCTGATGATTTTAGAATCCATTCCTATATGATGATCTCTTTAACTCACTTTATCATCTTGCTACTTTCAATCAATTTCCTTTGGAAGGGTATATAAGTGCAAAGGGCGTGTGTGGGTTGAAATGAGGAGAGATAAAAGAAAAATAGAATAGAAAAGACATAAAATTCCAATTAAAAGAGCGTAACATTAACTATTAAATATACCCTATATTCTTTGATTGAATAAATTTGTACTTAAAATTAACTGCAGTCTATTAAAAGACACATTGAAAGAAAGTTTCACAATTTTAATTAGGTATGATTCAAAGTATAAAATTTAGTTTATTTCTATCTCTGTAGTAATGCTAAAAAACGAAACCAAATAATTGTATTGTGTTACCTCAGTGTTTAAGCAAGAATTAGCTCAGGCTGAGTTAGTTGTATTTTCGATTAGTGTTCTTGCATGTGATATGTGAAGAACAGCAATCTCTTGGACCTTACTTAAGAATTTGTAAAAATCCCTTTGCATTAAGTACCCAGCAATAGAATTGCAGATATTGCACTGAGTATATTTCAGTATTGCCAGTGTATATTTCAAAACAAATGATATTATCTACACTAAGATTTCCTCTTTCCCAGTATTCAAAATGCATATTATAATTACATGGGTTTCCAACATCCATACACAGCAAGTACAAGATACTTACATGTACGTACACTGTAGTTACCTATATTTTGCATAGTTTTTAGTGTGTACTTTGTGCCACTTAACAAAAAGCATTACTAATAAGTAATTCTCATTAGATGTTTCCCTTGTTTCAGTTGTGATTACTGCTTAAATTTTTTTAGTTTTGTCTATATACTTATTATAGATTACCACTTGCAAAAGGAAATGGGGAATTTCAGAAGGTTCTAAGTAATTATAAGTGTCATGGGAAAGTTGCAGTAAAATATGAGGTTTCATATTTTCTCCACAATTAAAAAACTTAAAAGTGAAATTTCATATTTATTATTCATTAAATTATACTTACATGCAAAGGAAAAAAAAGAAAGTATTTTTAATGTTCCCTTGGTAACACTTTGCAATAAGTGGCACTAAATTACACGATAACTGCTATGTTACATGGAAGAGCCATCACTGTCAAACAGCTGCTGTACATGTGCCTATATGGAATCTCAATGCTGTTACAATCATGAGTACATAATTATAAGTGAGCCTGTCGTTTTAATTGAGATATCTATACTTTTACAAAGAAATAAAAATAAATGAGATGTTAGTTTCTTTGCCATATATAGGAAAGTTAGTTTTTTTTCTCTATTATTACTTTAATTGTGGAGCTTCAATGAAAGAATAAGTATCTTGAATCAATATGAGACCGTTGGTTTCTACATTAAACTTCAATATCAGGTTCCTTAAACTGCTTCTTGAGTTTTCTGGTAAAAGAATACAAGTCAAAATCTCTCTCTCTCTCTTTCTCTGTCTCTATTTCTCTTCTTCTCTCTCTCTCTTTCACCCACACACATACACACACACACACACACACCATCATCATTGTCATCATCAATACTCTTCCTTTCTGTCTTTCTTATTGCACTCACAAACTTTTCCTTTTCTTCCTTATTTTGATCATCATTCTACCTGGGACACTCAAAAACGGAAAAGAGGAAAAGAAGAATGTTGTTTGGATTTTTTTGATGGAGAACAATCACTTTACACTGTAAACAGTACACTGGCAGGAATAGCTATTTTTGGTAAAGAATAATGATACATACCTAGGGGAGTGTGAATGTGCACTCCTACCCAAAGTGGCTCAATGTGCATACAAATGTGTGTATTTCAGACTTTTTAATTGACATGGTTTTGACTGAGAAATCTTATTATTTTTCTAATTTGTTCTAATGGAAATTAGCCTAATTTGTACAATTTATTTATTTGTTTATTGAAAATTAAATAATTTTAAAGACACGAAAGCATAGTTCTTTTGGGATTTTTTTCCTGTCACAGAAAATGATATTGTATTCAAATTGAAATATATTTCACTGAAAAATGTTTGACTCGAGCTAACCAATTTCAATTTACCAGTTATTTTTAAGAGTTCTAGTGTGATTTTCTATTACTCTGAAGGGCTAAGAAGAGTCAAATATCTTGAAAATGCAACCAATTTTGGGCTTCTAATTTTACAAGTGCTTTTATAAATAATGATTGAGTTATTTGGGCAACAATTTAGTAGTTGGAGCCAAGTAGAATACAGATGAAATGAAGAGGGTTGGAAATACAAGCATCAATGAAGAGTAGCAATTTTGTAAGTGCATCCTGAAATTAGGCTTTAAATAGTAATTGATGATGCAGTTTATACAGATTACTTCTGCAGTAAGAACCTTTCCATTTTGAACTAACAGGATGAATTTTGCCTTGTGGAGTCTTTCTAAAGATTATGCATTGAAAGATATGAACAGTTTATAAACCTATTCTAGTTTCAATGTGTCTAGTAGCACCTACCTGATTCTCTCAAACTACCATACTATATTAACATATTATTGCATTTTTCCACAGATGGTATGAAGTGAACTGTAAAAACAAGCATGCAATCACATCAATGCAGACTTATTTCCTTAAAATGTCATACTGTATATGATTTATTATGTTAACACTCAACCACATCATATTTATGTTCTGTATATTTTGAAAAAGTGCTGCTTGACTGACATCGTCCTTTTCTTTTGTAAGAAATCAACAAGATAAATCCTTCAACAATCAAAACAACCAACTTAAAAAAATCTAACATTGTCCTTAAAAGATTTATACTTTTCTGATAAATAATCTAAGATACAGCACCCTTGTCTTTCACTTTGTACTAATACATGATGTTGTACTCAACCATTCTTATTTCTCAAAAATAAATTTGAAGGTATTAGTTTTAAAACACTAGGCCATCATGCTATCAGACATCAAAGTACAGCTACCATTTTGTCATATTTGTATTCTTCTTAAAGGTGCAATGCTTGTAAATGGGAAAATAACTTTTAATCTAACTGGATTTTTAATTTAGCATATAATAAATTTAATGAAAACTAATCTAGCCATATTATATTTTACTAGAAGAAATAAGACTTTATATTGACTTTGTCATATTTAAGAATACAGCATTTCATAATGGTTAAATACACAAAAATTTCAAAATAATCCAGAGAAAAAGACTTTCACCTTGGAGTTAAAAGCATGGCAGAAATTCTCTATCACTCACTGTTTCATAAGTTTGTACCTCACAAAATGCATAGACAGGAATTTAATAGAAAGAATTAGTTCATTTATACAGAAAACATATCTTAAATACTTCTTTTTGGCAAACCAACATAGGTTAGCAGCTCTGGAACTGCCAAATTAAAATTTATAAATTTTTACCAAACTAAGAGTTTATTTTAGGTTATTATTCAACTGTGGTTGTAATTTAAAACCTGAGGCTGTGCACTGGTTGTTAGCTTAAAATTACCTTTCCTTATAACATTGTGCTTCCATTGTATAACAAATAAAAATTAACAAGAACTAGAAAAATTTGTTGTTGAACAGTGCTAGGACATACAGACAAAAATACTAATACATGTTATCTACTTATAATATTTGTTTAAGTAATATCTAAAGGGATATAATGGATGTTAGAAAATGCTTACTTATGACTGAATAACCTACAGCCAAAAAAGTTAAATATGTATCAAATAATGTTTAATTGGATTTCTTATATGCACTATATACAGATACTAAAATGTCTCAAAATTGTGCCCTACGGATACTTCAATTTTGTTTAGGCAGGTGAGTCCTTATGGAGCAAATAAATTACAGAATCAAATAGAGAAATGAATGAAATCTTTGTGATTCCCAAAGCAGTTAAATGTTTGGAATAATTTATTGATAAATGAAGCTACAATAACCTAATGGTGGGATCTATATAATTATATAAGATGTTATGTCTTGATTATATCCATACACATGGCTCATGTATCAAACACTAAATTTTTAAATAGCAGATTGATACAGCATAACCAGTATAATCTCAAACATTCCATAAACTACACTACAGTGTTTTCAGTTTGTGTTTTCTAGGGCATATGTTTCCAAAACATGTCTTTGAAGATAGACAGGTAGAAAACATTGTTTGTAAACCTCTAATCTTCAATTAAATTTAAGTATATTAGGTCTTTACCTAATCCTGTTACTTGTGAAAGCTGTCCAGTGGCAAATCAATAAAGTTTATGATTTAAAGAAAAAATGGGGAAAGGAAGAACCTCTGCATACATGTTTTTCAATGGATAAAAACAACTTAATATCATGATCCAAGGAAATGATTAACATTGTTAAGGCTGTATATTCAAGCACTGTGTGTTAAAACAGCAATGGTGTGAAATTTAGGCAGTAAGAAATGTCCTGCATTATGGATGGTACAGTAATTAAAGAATGATGCTTTCAACAGCTGATTGTTGGTATATACTGGCTACTGAGAGCAGTACAGTATGGATGTTAATAAAAGTAGCAGAAGATGGTAGGAATGATTTCTGAAAGATGATAGCCAGTTTTCTCCAGCAGTCAGCCTGGTAAGTAAAACTCAGAACTGTGGTCTGAATTTTAAATGAAATACTCTTTTTTCTCTTCAGCATTGACTTGGCTGCCTTCAGCATTGATAATGGCTGTATCAGCATCAGGTGCATCTTCAGCTCCTTTAGCTTCATTCGTTAAATATGTTCCTGTGGATATTAGAAGCAAACAGTGTTAGTTATGGGAGCTTAGTAAAATCGTCAGTAGTAAAGCTATATTTGGTTAGGAAGAAACTTTTGTCAGGTATCTTATATGTTGGAACACATTCTAAAACGCAATTCCCCTTTCTAATGTTGAACCTTTCTTTCCATTTTCAGTAAGTGAAGCTGTGATTCTGTTAATTACAGATGATACAAATTAGAATGGGTAACAAATAATTTTGATTTCTTTGATGTAGATTAAAACCACAAAAGCATTGTGGCTGTAGCAGTCAGTGTTCTTTGTTAAGATGTGATTTTTGATTGTGGCAAATGTGTACCACTCATTTTCATAATTCTATTTAAAAGTAAGCCTTGTCAATGATATTCAATCTGTCCCACTGCACAAAGTCAAATATTTCCTCATTAATATCACTGGAAACATGTGCTTCCTTAAACCTATAAACAAAAACATTAATCAAAAAAGTATAGGTGGATTTTGGTGCTGGAAATAAATTATAAACTTTCTTCTATCTTTTCTGGATCAGTTTTTATTTAACTTACAACCAGATTGGCTTAGTAAAATAATGTTTGGACAATGGCAAAAGCTCACAAAATGAGTGATTGGCTTAGGAAAAAAAAGGCAATTTGAATTTATCTTTAGAAGTAAAATCTAACTATAAGCCACTTGTTGATGTTTTTATTTGTAAGCTTATGGAACAATATGTAGCGATAATAGCAAAGAAAATGAGAACTTCTTTTTGAGGTCCAGGTAGAATACTATTATATAATTTAATAGTTTAAATTTAATAATTTAATTGATAAATTCATTTAATTTAATATTATAATTATATTAATATTATATATTTAATATTATAATTTAATTTATATAATTTAATGGTTTAATAGATATTTGTTTTTTTTCCATTTTATATCTTTTTTATTGTACTGGGGGCACATTGTGACATTTACCAAATGTATCATAGTTGAATCTATCCTCTCCATCATTTTCCTTTATCTCCCCTCCCCCAAGATATAATTTACTTGATAATATAATTGCCAAAGTAAATGGTAACATATTTGACTGGATCCTTATCAAGAATTCCCTGAGATAATTTCTTATTTAGATCTCTTCCTCCATCTTTCTCTACATATATATACAGATGCAGACAAAAATATGGATACCCTAAGATTTCAGGATGAAGCTACTTGTTAGTTTTCTGTTGTCTCTTCAAACATAACCTACCTTTATGTCTTGCCAGATACCGACCAAGCAGAAATATAGAGCACAGTGTGACAAATACAACTACAGCCACTATTCCTCCTATGAGAGCATGGTCAGGGCCATTCTGGCCAGCCAGAGAATTGGGATCTGGAGAAAAAAGAAAATATTGCTCTAGTTATCCTGTTAATCAGTCATAAAACGCATATCTGTACTAGAATGAGTTATTTTGAAACTTAATACATTTCTATTAAAATAAAATTGCATTACAGTGTATTACAGTATTAACCCAGTCAACAAATATTCATTGTGTGCTTATAACACACAATATACCTAGGAACAGAATGTTTGACATATCCTCACTATTGCTTTTGAGGTTCTATTTTAAGGGAAAGACCACATAAACAAATGCATAGATTTTACCTTTTATACTTATATGTTTTTCCTTAATCTTCACTTGTATCTGAAAATATGCGTGTATTGTATGTGTATTTAGTATGTGTGTATTTGGTTTGAAAAACTCAACTGCACCATTTTTTCAATAAAGTTATATCATGATATTATGAGAAAAGCTGAGAATGAATTTGATAAACTGCTGTTAATATACAAATATTTAAAGCTACGGAAATTGAAGAATGTTTCAAGGGAGTCTTGGTAAACAGAAGAGGTCTAACAATTGTCTTATTGGAGAACTCCCACATTTAAAGTCCAGATAGATATAGCTCTTTCAGCAGAGCAGACTGAGAAAGAAAGAAAAGGGACAGCTTGTAATGACCACTGTAGTTGATTCAAGAGAAGAATGCATTTTTGTGGTGTGGTTACAACTCTGTTAAATGGTTATGGGAGGAGGAAGATGAATGCACAACATGGAAGACTGCATGTCCCTTGAACTTAAAATGCTACAGTAAGTGGTTGGGAAGAAGAGATTATTAACATCATTTTTATTCTGCCTTTAATAAAATATTATTGGAAAGTGATAAGCCCAGTAAAGGATGGGCAGTTTTTAAGTAGAAGTCAAAAGGTCAAAAGAAATTCCAGGCATTTGGGTACTCAACATTTGGAAAATTAAAATATTTATACAAGTCACATAATAAGGGACAAACTGAATGAAGCTTTGAACAACAAATTCCATTAAGGCTCAGTCCCTTGTCAATGATGAAATTGAGTTTAGTATTGTCTACTCCCCCAAATTGCTGTTGCAGACAGCCTCATGGTGGCTATTTACACTTAAAAGAAGAATTTAGAGAAGGAAAAACTAAAGAAATTAGGCTTGTCAATAATGGTTTCAAAAACTTAAGGTGTGGTTGGTTATAAGAACATGAATCTGACAGATAGATTTATGAGGCTACTGTCTCTTTAGTGGAACTGTTGTGTCAGAGAATAATATGTCTAGACAAAGAGAAGTCTCTTAAACTTCAAACAATTTATAGACTCCCTAAAGCCAATGAAAGCAGAAAATGGATGATAAAGACTGTGTAGCTGTAATGGAGGGCATATTCCCAGGTGACTATTTTCTATGTTATGTAGTAGAATTGACTTATTGAGCTCCCCAGAGGGTAGAACTGAAAAAAGTAAAAAATTATGAACAGAGAAGTATGAAGTATTTTTTAGAAACCACTATTGTCAAGGCTAAAAGGCCTTTCAATAACAGTCTGGCATGTTTTCATAATTACTATACATTTGTTACTACTCTGTGTTTTTTCTTCTTCTTTTATTTCCAGATGTGTGCATTTATTAGCAAAGAAAGATTCTCCTGTCTCTGTTCACCACTGTATATTAGGTAGGGAGTGGAGAAAAACATTAACTTGCCTTTTTTTTTTTGTATTTGGAATAATGTATCCAAGTGTGATGAATAAGTTGGCACATACCTGAGGACTTTGAACTTTGAGTTGGGTACATTGGCTTGAGGAGACTTTACATTTTCTTTATGGATGGTTTGTGGTAGTGGTTTGTGTGAAAGAAAAATGGTGAAAAGCTATTTGGTGATCAGAAGGGCATACTTAGGTAGAGAATTCTGGTAAAAAAATCTGTTTCCTTTGGTTTTGGTGCAAAGAGCCAGGCATTTTCAAGACTCCATTGCAGTCAAATGTAATCATGTGATTGTGTTCTAGATAATGAATGAAGGCCCATCCAAAAAAAAGATTGCCACATGTAACCTTCCCAGGTAAACTAGAGAGATGTAAAGTGAGGACAAGAAAGTCACAACAAAAGTAAAGTTATTGGTCACGGATTGTCCACCTGAAAGAAAACTTCACAACTAAGAAGACACGCACTGAAGTGTTTGAAGGGACACTCATTTTTCCTATCACATAAATCTTTCTCCTTTTTTGAAGTGCTTGAGCAAAGCAAATCAATTTTTAAATACTGAGCATTAAAAAGTTAATCTAATATTGAAGTTAAGTTTAATTTAGGTTTTTGATATGTGTTTCTTGCATTTTCCTACATTTCCTGCATTGGCCATAAATCATCCCAAATGGAATTATTCTTTCTTCTGCTGGATCTAGTATATTCTTAAGGATCTCAATTATATTTTTATTTCACTGGTAAGTTTTAATATTCATGTTTTCTCATTGATTCTTTTTAATGATTTATGTGGAATTTTCATTTATGTCAGGTTTTTTTTCCTTCTTTTGTTGTATTGTCTATATGCATCCTCTTGCATGTCTGAGTTTCCTTTGGGTCATTATTTTGAATTTTTTTTCAGGCATTTCATAGATTGGGATTTTTTTTGGAGAATTATTGTATTCCTTTGGAGGATTCACTTTTCCTTGTTATTTTAGGCTTACTGGGTCCTTATTTTGATATATTTACATGTAGTATAATAGTTGCCTTTTCCTATTTTATGGAGTAGCTTCTGTAAGGAATTTTTTTTTTTCATTTAGTTGGGCTATAGGGTGTCAGTTGGGTTGTTGCTTTGACTTTGATTGCAGATAGCTCAAAATTGTAGCTTCCATGTGATTTCCTTAGCTCTCAATGTCAGCAGTCTATATGAGTGCCTCAATTGTTTGGCTGCAAAAATTCAGCGAGATAATTGTGTGACTTTTACAGCAGATCTATCCTTCTAAAGGTCCCATGGAGTCAAGCAAGCACTGGTGGTACTGGGATGGACAGCTGCAGTCCTTGTGCTGTTGGATGTGGAGGAGATAATCCCTAATACCTACAGGGAAAGCACAGGTGACACTAGGGGTATGTTGCCAGCAGTCACAGATTCAGGACTATGAGACCTGATGGAGACCTTCTCTAATTCCTGAGGAATAAGTAAGAGAGATTCTAGGGTCACCATGTTCCCAGGCTTTTGGGACTCAAAGGGGACTTTTTCTTAGGACCTCTATTACAAGATTTTAGTACCAACAATCTCAAAAACCTCTCTCTGAATTCCCTTTTCTTATTTCTTGCTCAGTTACCTTGGAATTAGTTTAAAATTGTACTTCATACTTAAGCCCTCAAAAATTGTAATCATCTTATTTTTTGAGTATCTCTCTAAAATGAACAGCTGTTTTTTTTTTTTTTGGCAGGGGAGGGAACTTAGACATTATGCTTCATACTTCTTTGTACCTTTCTTATTTTCTGAAGGTAAATTCTGAGAAGTGGTATTTCTGGATCAAATGATACAGATATGTTGTAAAGACATTTGATAAATGTTGCCAAATTATATTGTAGAAAGATTATACAAACTCACCCTCCATCAACTGCACCTGAGGAATTCCTTTTCCCCATATACTACTCACATCAGATATTACCATGAACATTATTTTGCCAATTTGATGTGACATCCCAATTTAAATATTTTGGATTTATTAAATTGCTGATTATCATACTACCTATAGATTTTTGGCCACATGAATTCATTAACTTTGAAATGCCTTTCTCTTCACTTTATTCATTTTTCCATTCAAGATTTCTGTTTTAGCAGCTTGCTTTACACAAAAACTAACTATTTTTGACAATGGCTACTTGCCAAAGTTTGAACTGTTACACATGGCTCATGGGTCATGATGGGAAATACATTTGCCATGAAAAAATTAAAACCATATAGATCTATTTTGTCATCTCACTCTTTGACTATTATATTTTAACCCTTTCAAAACATACTTGGTCTGATTTTATGCCAGTGAATAAAATAAAAAATTAATTATTTTAGAGGGAGGTGTAGTACTGGGGCAGAGCCTTCCACTTGCTAGACAAGCACTCTCCCACTTGACCCATACCTCTAGCCATTTTTGCTTTTGCCTTTTGCAGATGGGGTTGTACATTTTAGCCCTGGGCTGTCCCAGATGACCATCTTCCTATCTCCACCTCCTGAGTAGCTTAGATTACAGGTAAGAACCAGCATACTTTTATTCTTTAGAAATAGGGTTCTGTTAACTTTTATCCAAGCCGGCCTCAAACCATGAATCCCCTATATCTGTCCCTCAAGTAGCTGGGATTACAGATATAAGCCACTATTCTTGGCCTTCCCTTAATTTTTTGGACAACCAGTTGTCCCTCACATAATTTCTTTCACAATTTATTTTATAAAATTTGTCATAAAATAATTATCTATATATTTTGTGTTTCTTCACTTTGAATCTATTTGAGTAGTATTTCAGTTCTATACTAGTATTTTAGTTAAAAAATCATTTTAATTACTTATAAGACAAGTCCCCAATTATATTCAGAAAAATTTTGCAGGAATAAAAAACACAATAGGATATTTTGGGGGCTTATGGTAATTTATTAATAAATTTTATTTTATTTATTGTATTATATAGAATTAAATTCATGCCTTTACTCTCTTGCTTTATTTTCAATTCTTTTTTTCATTTTTGTGCTTCATTTTTTAAACATTATGTCAAATATTTATCAAGGTATTTTAATTTCCTGATTACTAAACTTACATAATTTCCTACTGATTTATTGTGTTACTTTTTCTGTTAATGTTTTATTTCTATTGATATCAATATTTTATTTTTCTACTGAATCAGCATTTAACGAACAATATTTACACTATCATGTTAATTTTGATGACCTCAGAATTGAATCTAAAATAGAAATCTTCATTTTGATAGTACTTGATCTACTTCTCTCAGTTTCTAGAGTACTTTTATATTCTTCTTCTCTTTGTTTTCCTCCTTCTCCTTTCTTCTTCTCCTTCTCCTCCTCCTTTTCTTCTTCTTATGTATGTGTGTATGTGTGTGGTG